CCCTATTCCGACGGCTTTCCGACGGTTTTCACCGTCGAAAATTTGCCTGTTTTCTTGTAGTGGACATACGAAACCAATTCTACGGTTACGGAGAAATCGAATCTATCAGAATCTTGGCCGAAAAAGCATGTGCGTTTGTAACATACACAACCCGACAAGGAGCAGAGAAGGCAACACAAGAGCTCTCAAACAAGCTAATCATCAATGGTCAGAGGCTAAAACTGACATGGGCAAGACCTCAGCTCCATAAACTTTATCAAGATAGTTCCAAGTACCAACCAGGCAGTGTGGCTCATAGTGGTTTACTACCTCGAGACGTTATATCTTACCAGCAGTACAGTATGTACCCACCACCACCTAACCATGACAAACCTTATTATCCATCAATGGACCACTATGCCCCTCCTCCTCCAGCAGCTTACCGATACCCACAATATGCGTCATTTTAGTTTATGCCCGTTTAAGCTATATATGATTTTTATTTTTAATAGATTTCTAATTATTTGATTGTTAAATACATTTTATGTATGTTTTTTAATGTTCAGGTATCAATGAGCATTTCCAATGGGGTTTCATCAAGAGATTCTAGACATTTAAAAAATATATAATATTAAAAAGTAGGAGAGAAAATGGAAAAGGGTTCTCCTATTTAAACCGATTCTCAAGTTTAAAGAAACCTAGTTGCCAGTTTGCCATTTGATTGTTAAATGGTTAAATGTTTGCTAAATGATTTAAAATTTAAATAATAAATAAATTATATTAAAATACCATATATAAGAGACTTGGAGGGTATCCAAAAGTTGGGCATGCTCTTAGATGTTACCAACTCATACTTTTTATAACAAATCTTTATTATGTAAAAAGATGGAAACAAGAGGAATTAAACAAGTCCGAGAAAATCAAATCCGTACAAATATATATAACAAAAGTAATAGTTATATATATTTGAAGATTCTGACAAAAAAAAAATGTAAAGTCTCCCTGCATGAGAGACTATATTATTCAAAACCGAGATTCGAGAAGAAAGCATCTCATCGGCAGAGATAAAAGTGTATGATTTGAGTTCGTTGAACTTGTCCTAACAAGACAGTAACCATAAAAAAGCTTTTTCTTCTTT